AATACAAACTGAACAATATCACACACCTCCATTATACTGATGTAACTAATGTTTATAATTATTTGATTATATTAATGGTTAATGTCCATTAAATTAGCATTCTCCTAGAGGTGTGTATGTTGTGTGTGTGTGTGTGTACATACACGCATACATACACATCGCCCCTGACTCTAGGGAGTGGTGCTCAACTCCGTTTCAAAGCCGAAGAGCCAGCATTGTCCGAAGACGTCTCCATGGTCAAAGACTTGTCTTGCAGGTATTTATCATCAGATATCCATGCTTTGTGTATCAGAGACTGGATTACCTCCAATCTTATAGAACCTCAGCATGGACCTTATCCATTCAGTTGCTTTCTCAGGCTTTTTCATCCCAAAGCCAGGTGAGAAAAATTGTCAGCATAAATTGTACCCAGTATGACCTTCATATAAACTATTACTGTTCTTATAGTTTCTCTGCATGGCATTACAAAGGAAGTGAATGGTGATTTCCCCTGGCTAACATTCAGATATTGCCATCTGTGGGGAAAGCTGCTGCTCATCGCCATATGTAATGTGTGCTACAGGGGTTTTTGTAAGATCTGGGTGCAACATGCAATCATTGTTTTCTCCAAAGGACTATTATCCTGTCAAAGTATGATCACTAGATGCCAGCAAAGAGTTCATCTTTCAGTGTTTCTACTGTTTGCCTGGATTTGTATAACCCAGATGCAGCTGTTGTGAAAGCGTCCTTGGAGCTCAAGGAAAGGTTTTGATATGCCTGAGAAATACACTCATTATGGAATGATCCTGGGTGCATCTGTATGGTTTTTCTAATTGATCTTTCTGGTGGCCAAAAGAATTAAGAGTTTTGCCTCTCTTTGCTGCTACCTAATAGTAGTCCAGATAAATGTTGTTGAAGAGATGGAGTTTGAGAAATGAATTTATTAATTCTTGTGACAAATCATTACATACATACAGATTTGATTATATATGTATGTTAATATAGCTGTATGCTAGGCCATATCTATACCAGACTACATTCTATGATACATTTCCTAAAATAACATTCTGTCTAGCAAACAGCCATATCTTCTAAAGAGCAGTAGTCATTGTGAAGGGAATTCCCCATAATGTAGACTACAGAAGCTTAAGAGCCAAGTCCTGTCAATTATATACATTATGCCAAGGAAGGCTGTTCAATTTCAGGGCTCTCTAAGTCAACTGGTTGTCCAACCTGTTTAAACAAATTAAAAAAGGAAATGACTGCAGAAGTTATAGCTCAGGGCTCTCTCGCAGCACTGCCAAACAGCTACTAAACCCAGCGACCAGATTAAAGTGTAACAAAAGAGACTTGCCCTGTTCTGTAGAATTAGGAATCTTTTATACAGCATTAGAGTAGACTCAGTAAACACTATGTCTGTTTTTACCCTAGCTGCTATTTCTGTGTGTGTTGGGGTGAGGGTTTGGGGAGGGAGGGTATTATGTTTTCTTTTAACATTGTTAGCTGTCCAGAAATATTAATTTGAGAAACTATATAGATTGAAATAATAAGCAAAAAACAGGATACGCCCAGAAACAAAACACTCCATTCATAGTCCATACTGACCAAAACAAACTGACCCAACCTCCCAGCCCTACAATTGAAGGAAACATCCAGATCCTCAGAGCTTTGGGGGCATCATGATCCTTGGCACTACAACAGAGAAGGCACAATTCCTAGGTTACACAAGATGACAATTCCTAATGGAAGGAACCTGGAACATGCTAACTGCCAATTCTGGTGCAGGAAGTAGAACTGATTTAGGACACACAGTCTTACAAGTAAACTGGCACCATATACTAGGTACCGTACCCTGAAGCTCACCAAGAGCCAACACAGCTCACAGAAACAGTGATGTCCTATGGGCATATAATGAAGTACTCAAGACTGCCTGTGCACAAGGCCAGGGTGATTGCATTGGAAAACTTCCAGTTAAATATTTTGACAGAATGAGTCTTTTCTCTTCTAAGTCCTAAACAAATACATTTAATAAATAAATAAAAAGTTTTTTCTTGACTATTACAGAATCGGAAAGTTAGCAATTCCCATAATACATGCAGTTGAATTGCAGTTTCTCTGAGCCTTTGACTTCAATTTATTTTTTATCAGCATAGATCTACAGTTTTGAGGAATCGCTAAGAAAAAAAGCTTAGATGGCTTGTGGTAAAAAAATATTCTTGGAACACCATTATTATTATTAACAAGTACAAATCTATTCTGGAAACAGTGGGAGTTTTCCAATTGAAATTGTCAGTTGTATTTTTTCACTTATATGTTTGTCATGTTTTAAAAACACGCATGTGTCATCTCAATGAATGTACATAAATATTTTCTGTGGTTTTCAGATACTAGGCCCTCTTTCCTTTTGGATGTAATAAAAATACAGTATTAGGCTATGGGAAGCCATCTTATTAGTCAGGATTTTTTTTTTTCATAATGGAAATGGTGTTTGGAATTTTCATGTTCTACTGACTTATTTATCAGAAGGCTGTTGTTGGGACAAAATTCTCATAGCAGTAAACAATGCTTTTTTCAGTTTTAATATCATATGATTCTTCTCCTAAAATATAAAATAATTAGGGTTCAGGGTTATCAACTTGCCAGTTTACTGTCACGGGTTTACTCTCTTTTTTGCCAAGAAGAAAAGCTGTTTTGGAAAAGAAACCACATTTGTTTTCCTTATGATATCCTTAAAGAAAATGTGGGAGGGGGGGATTAGCTGCTTCCTTTTTAACATAGTTTTGTACAAAATAAGAAGAAGGTAGATTATTAAGACTATCTCAGATTGGAAAAATCTAGATGACCACTAAATGTCAGAAAAGGGAGATACAGAACACCAACCTTGCTGCTGTATACAGATTGGCTAGATTTTTGCAAACCAGTTCTGATCGCCAAACTACCAGCCTTAACCATACTTCTAGACCTATATCCTCTACATGGGCTTTTCTGAAATTGCTGCCCAGTAGATTGGCATTTTTATTATATTGCTAGCCCACAGTGGCTAGATAAAGTTAGATGTTTCTGTGATGAATTATTGTTTGTTTATATAATATATTTTTATCATGTTATTGTTGTTGACCTGCTTTGGGAATATTCTTTTGGAGCTTTTTACAGGTATCTGGTAATCAATATCAGAGGCCCTGTGATTTTGGTTTTAACAATTAGATTGATAGATCTTTATAGAAATGGCTTGTTCATATTATTATGAAAAAACAAAAAAAATGTGATTTGATGTTAATGCGTTATTCTAGTGCAACAGAGAGAGTCGGAAGTCAATGCTTATTTTTCTTTTTTTCTTATCCTCTCTCACTTTTCTTCCCCCTCTTCCTCCCCACCGTTTTCCTATTACTTTCATATTTTGTATCTCATTTTATTTTATAAACCAATAAAACTGTTAAACACAAATATCGTAGACCCTAAATTGATTTTTAATTTCTTGGTTTTCACTGGAAAAAAAGTTACATGTTGTTTTGAATTTGAATTTAAAGATAAGTAGTATATTTGATTGAAGATCAATAATTTAATATTTTGAGTTTTTCAGGAACTCTTTGTGCATGACATCTATTCTTTCATTTTGTTTTATCTCTATTTCCTTTTTTTTAAATTCTTTCAATGGCAAACTAGTTTTGAATTTGTTTTTGTTCCTAATGATAAGTAACAAGTTGTTCAGCTTCTTTATAGTCTTTCTAGTATGTTTATGTACTTTCACACTTTGGTCTAATTAGCAAAGCTCTTTACATGACTATTTAGTAGCAATATATTTTTACAAAATATTTTGCTGTATCTTTATCTTGTATTCATTTTGCCAGTGTTTGTATTCCTTTTAATTCTTTCATTTTGGGCAAAAGTTCTTTCTCCTTCTGACTGCTTTGACCTTGCATATTAATCATACTAGGATCTTTTTGGATTTGACAACTCTGCATCATATATTCTAGTTGACATTTTATTAATGGCACTTTTACGTAATAAGTATCCATATATAGATACATCCTCTCATTTTTCATTAGATGCATATTTTTTAAAAAGGGGTGTTTTTTTGAAGTGGGGAAGTCAAATCAATTGTATGATTTCACTTATGTTAATCATTCTTGGCAATTTTGCAGTAACCTTTATGCTAAATGTCATAATTATTCACAGTCAGTTTAGTACTACTTCTTATCTCCTTCACACTATAATTACTTCACAGGTAATATGGATAGGGAAGTCATTTAGAGAGAGTATAGCTTCTAGTACTATATGTATACATCAATTACATATGTTACAAATAATTGACATAATCATTTCCTATTATTATGTTTTCACCAGATGCCATATACTACTATATGCTCATTATAGTTTTAATTTATATTTAGTTTATCTGAAATCTTTACATTTCATCCTTAGGAAATGTTTTATTCTAAACAAGATATATCTTACATTTTGTCAGTTTAATCCCAAAGATATTTTAAAAGCTATGGTCATTTTCCTGAGCCAATCTACTGAAAACATTTATGGATTAGTTGAATACTCAAGCTTAGCTCCTAGTGACTATCCAAATAACCATATAACACAAAACTAATTTACAATTGCTTTCTTTTGGGGTATTTTCAATTTTCTAATATCCTAAAGTGAAAGATCTATGTGTCACCAAGAAAACACTGTTTTCTACTGCTCTAGGTGGGAGACAGTTGAAGAGTCAGAACTCAGTGTTTTTATTATAAAATTTTGTCTTGGCTTCACCTCAGCATAAATACAGAACTAGGAACCTTATATTAACAATTTAATATGCACATCAGTGAAATTTGTGCCTTCTTTGTTTCCTCCCCCATCCCTATTGAACCCAGAACAAATGCTTGCTTTTCATTTGGAGAATTGGGTAATTCAGTCTAGGCTTGTTTTGATAGAAGGATAAGGATTTGTGAATAAGGTGTTACTTGAGAATTGTACTTACTTTATCGAAGAATGTGGAATTGCAGACTGTAAAAATTGTCATTTTGTTTCAGTCAATAGCTTCAGCTGACATGGATTCAAATCAACTAGAAGCTTTTCTGACTGCACAAACAAAGAAACCTGGGGGAATCACAACCGATCATGCTATAGTTATTGCAAAATTTTGGAAGAACCAGCGAGCAAAAATTCATGAGAGTCTGATAAATCAAAGCAAGTGGGAAAACAGCTTGAAAAACATAAGCTGGAGAGTAGATTTAAAAACACAGTCAAGACACATTGACCAGATGAACAGTCCTGTGGCAATAGTTGAAATGGAACTTGAGAAAAATGGACCGGTAAGAACATTTTATCTTATTTTACCAATGTGAATGTTACATGTTAGTAAATGTTTGCTTCCTAAAGATAAGAGGAAAAGAAAAGGAATTCTGCAGATAACAACTTATACTCTTACAAATCACTATAATGCAGGCTTCTTTAAGTTTAAATATCTCAAGCTTGGATCATTGGCCATGCTTCCTTGGAATGATGGTTTCCAAACTTTGGGTGTATAAACTTCAGAAAGCCAGTCAAGATGTAGCTTATCTCCAAAGTACAGTAACTTATATTGTCCAGATGGAAGTTTCTGCATGATCTGAAGAGATGTCTTAAAACTGCCTGAACAAAGAGAAAAATTAATGCCTTTTATTCATTGTTTGGTTTATATGTTACCGTTGATATGGTAAGTATCACCAAAGTGATCATTCTGCTTCCTATAGAATGCTACATAGCACAATATTATTTTGCATAATTTATTAAAAGATGGTTTACTTCTCTTCCTACAAAATGCTGATTCCCTCCCTCCCCCCTCAAAAAAAGGAAATTCTCCTCATTAACTTGCAGAAAATACATAGTTCAGCTTTACTGAACTATCAGCAGAAAGGCATGATCTCAAATCATATGAACTTCTATTTTTAGTTTGCATAAAGCATTTGTAAATACGTATGCACTAATGCAGCAGTAGCTGCAGTTAACTTAGTAGAGAACATTCAGTGCTAAGAGTTAACAAGGCACTGCTTCTCTTTGATTTATAAAATGTTTATTACATTTCATTATAAAATAAAAATACAGAAAAAACAAAAGTTTGAAAAATAAGAGAAAGAAAAAGTGCAAAGAAAGAAAAAAATGATCACATCCAACTTTTTTTGGTGTAGTAAAGTACAAAACAAAAATACAATCTCAACCTTTTGGTTTACATTTCAAGCCATTTCTATAACAACAAAATCATTCTAATTATAATAACAAAATCATTCTAATTCCAAAGTACGGTTTCTTGTGTGTCTCCTTGTATTGCAGGTTGTTGCAAACATATGTCATATCATATTCTGTACTGTAATAAAGTATTATATTTGTTGGGGTTAACATTTTAAAAAAAATTCCAAGAACAAAAGAAGTTAACACTAACTCAGTTGATACATTCTGATGAAGTATTCCCAGTCATTCATNTTGCAAGGCCTTTCTCTCCTCCTGCAGAGGCCATATCTGGGCCCCCATTGACTTCTCCCCTTAGGGACATTTCTCCATCCCTGGCAGAGGAAGGGGATTACGATTTGTCCTCAGACCCAGACCCATCCAGGGTGGCCCCGGAGTCACCTTGCCCTTCTCTGGGGGGAAGAGTCAGTACAAGGGGACTGTTCCGTCATGGAGGAGGACAATCCACCTCTGATATCGCCTGGGCCCGGGACCAATCACCCAGCAGAGGACCAGGGACACAATATGTCCACTGAGATGAAGGAGACCATCGCTAATGCGATATCTCAGGGCATAGCCGAGGGTATGAGACAGCTAGGCCAGGGCCTCCCACGCCAGACAAGACTCAAACAGGGGACGCAGGCCTCAGGCTCGAAGGACTGGCCTGGGAGATCATCCTCTCCGGCTTCTTCAGCTGTCAGCGAGGAGTCCGATGTGGAGGAGGGAGATCAGGAGGCTCCAGATTTGTCTGAGGATGAAAATCCTGCTCCTGATCCACCCGCCTTCTCTGGATTGTTCAAGTCCTCGATGTTCAAGGCCATCCTCATCAAAGCAGGGCCTCTTCCATTCAGATGGGTCTCCCAGGGCAGAGCAATAAGGACTCCACAGAGCAGGGGAATTAGGAGCTTACTGGTCCCCAGGACCCTGGGGCTGGGTTTTTCAAAGAAAATGCTCCACCCCAGGAGGTAGTACCAGCCCCAGAGTTGTTCTTGGATGTGATCCAGCATCAGTAGGCGCAGCCAGGATCAATAGCCAATCTGAGCGGGACGGACAAGAAGCTCTACTCCATGGAGAGCAGTATGGAGGAACTTTTAAAGCTTCCTTTGGTGGATGACCCCATTGTTGCCTTGACTTCCAACTCTGCCTTCTAGCAGATTTGCTGGAACGCCTTAAGGCAGAGGATAAGAGGGCTGAGAAGGCCTGTCATAAGACCCACCTCACATCCGCGTGGGCCATGAGGGCCTCTTCCTCTTATTTTGGCAGGGCAGCCCTATTCTGGCTCTGTAAGCTGCAATCTAAATTTTCCAGCGAGCGATACTAGACTGCAATAGACTGTCAATAATATTATGGCTGCAATCGAGTACTCTGCTGATGCTTCACTCAACGCCACAAAATTTTCCTCCAAAGCCTTAGCCTCCAATGTAACATCGCACTGCCTGCTGTGACTTAGACACTGGCAAGCGAACATGAAGGCAAAGTGGAAACTCGCTTCCGCTCCCTTCAAAGTGGGAAAGCTCTTCATGGAGGCCTTGGATTCAGTCTTAATTGAATCTAAGGACAAAGGCAAGGTACTCCCAGCTGTCACCAAGAAGCCTGACTGCAAGGGCCAATCCTTCTTCCGCAGAGGCAGTCCTTTCAGAACGCAGATCCTTCAGCCACCTCTGGAGGATTTAACCGTTCCTATTCCCAGACGCAGGACCATACCCAGGATACTGTTGCAGCTAATCTTGTTACCAATTCAGGACACAAGACCACAAAGGTTTGGAGAACTCAGGTTTATTTGCACAATGGTTCAGAGCATTAACATGACAAATTCTGAACCCCGGGTTACACCCAGGGTGTTACTTTTATATATTTTGCAAACCCGGCTCTGCCCAGGTGTTAGGCTATGCCACCTTCTTTATCAGCACAAAACACAAGAAAGGAGAAGCGTAACCAAAAAGAGGAAGTCCAATAAATGACGAATTTGCTATACGTCTATTGTGGGTGGGTTACATGGGTAAGTCTTATCTTACACCATCTGTTACTTTTGGTCCACATCCCTTTGCACAAGTGTTACGGTCAGTTACTGGATTTTTTCTTTCTGTAAGCAGAATTTAAGCAAAGTCTCCTTTTATGAATAAGAAGTGAATTTCCACTAGCTCAGCCACTTGACCTCTGTTTTATATGATTCTTAAAATATTGTATCCCTTGCTTTTATACTATCTTTCCCTCCTGCCTTTTCTGGCTCCATAAGCTGCAATCTAAATTGCCAGCGAGCGATACTAGACTGCAACAGGATGTCAATAATATTATGGCTGCAATCGAGTACTCTGCTGATGCTTCACTCAACGCCACAAAATTTTCCTCCGGAGCCTTAGCCTCCAATGTAACATCGCGCCGCCTGCTGTGACTTAGACACTGGCAGGCGGACATGAAGGCGAAGTGGAAACTCGCTTCCGCTCCCTTCGAAGGGGGAAAGCTCTTCGGGAAGGCTTGGATTCGGTCTTAATTGAATCTAAGGACAAACGCAAGGTACTCCCAGCTGTCACCAAGAAGCCTGACTGCAAGGGCCAATCCTTCTTCCGCAGGCAGTCCTTTCGGAACACAGATCCTTCAGCCACCTCTGGAGGATTTAACCATTCCTACTCCCAGACATAGGACCATACCCAGGATAGGGCAGCGTTCAGGGACAAAAATAGACAGCAGGGTAGCCATAAGTCCTTCCAGGGCGGGTATTCCAATTGTTCCTTTCGTAGGAATAAGTGACTGTCACCGGTCCCCTCCCATAGGCTTCAACTCTATGCCAATCAGTGGGAGGAGACACCAATGGACACTTGGGTCTTGAACACAATCCGCCACAGACTCACCTTAGACTTCCTCTCAATACCTCAATAACACCAGCCGATGCAGGCAGAGATCAGCCATTTGCTTGAGATAGCAGCCATAGAGCAAGTTCCCACGGGCCAGGAACAGAGGGGTTCTACTCCATCTTCTTCCTGGTTCCCAAGTCTTCGGGAGGGGTGAGAGCCATACTGGACCTCAAGAAACTCAACATCTATTTGGTGTACAAGTGCTTCAAGATGCAATCACTCCAGACCATCTTGGGTTGCATCAGGCAGGGCGACTTCCTGATATCAATCGACCTGAAGGAGGGGTACTTGCATGTTCCCATTCATCCAGCGCATCGCAAGTTTCTGAGGTTCCAATTTGCAGACCAGCACTCTAGTACAAGGCTCTTCCATTTGGCCTTTCATCGGCCCCCAGGACATTTACCAACTTCTGGCCGCTGTCGCTGCACGTCTTCGATCTTGTCCAGTGAGACTCGTTTGTTATCTGGATGACATCCTACTGATGTCATCATCCAGGGAGCAGGTGTGTCAGGATCTCAGCGTCACCATACGCACACTCGAACAACACAGCTTTTCTGTAAATCTAGAGAAAAGCTACCTGTCGCCATCCACCAGAATCCAGCATCTGGGCACGGTGATCGACTCCAGACTCTGCAAGGTATTCCTCACACAAGAGAGAATAGACAGCATCACATCCCTCATGCATCAGGTCCGGAGGTCCAAGTTGACGCCTGTTGTCACACTAGCCCAGCTGCTGGGGAAGTTGATCTCGTGCATCCCAGTGGTCCCCTGGACATGGCTGCATGCACGGGAGCTTCAATGGTTCCTGCTTCCAATTCAATGGTGCAAGGCCAGCAACTCCAAGAGGGTGGTGAGCGTTCCTCCACAAGTGCTCTGGTCACTCAGATGGTGGCACAGAACAGTGCTGAAGAAGGGATCCTTCTTCAAGGTACCAGAATGTCTGGTCATAACAACAGACGCCAGCTTGTATGGCTGGGGCGCCCGCCTACAGACACACGTGACGCAGGGGAGATAGTCTCCGATGGAGCTCGGCCACAACATAAATTGGCTGGAGCTCAGGGCCGCCAGATTAGTCCTGCGCCACTTCCGGCAGCTCATCAAGGGGTCTCACGTCCTCATATTGATGGACAATATTGCCACCAAGGCCTACGTCAATCACCAGGGCGGAACTCGATCGAAAGCCCTGATGTTGGAGGCAGAAGCCCTGGGGTGGTGGGCAGAACACCATCTCCATTCGATAAGGGTGGACCACATTT